AGTTATGAATTTACGCGGGAAAAATTTTGGGGGGCTCGTACGCGCGTACCACGCTTACCCGGGGGTTGGATTTGAGTTGGTTAGCACTTGCTTGGACGGGGAACATTGCCCTAAAATTTCAGCTTTCTAGCATCTCAGAAGTCCGAGATATGAATTTGCGCGGGAAAAGTTTTGGGCGGCTCGTACGCGGGTACCACGCTTACCCGGGGGCTGGATTTGAGCTCATTAGTACCTACGTGGACGGGGAACATTCCCTTAAAATTTCAACTTTCTAGCTTTTCAGATACCCGAGTTATGAACTTACGCGGGAAAAACTTTGGGGGCCCCGTAGGCAGGTGCGACGTGGGGTATGGCGCCAATTTGGGGATTGGGGCCCGTACGCGCATGTAGATTAAGTCCCTAAAATTTCAGCCCCGTAGCTTTTGTAGGTCTTGAGATGAAAAACCGTGACAGACGCACACACGGACACACAGACAACCTCTTGTCAATATGCGTTTTTATGCGTTTTTTGCAGCAATGCAATGCGAAAAACGCATATTGACGAGAGATTGTCTGTGTGTGTGTGTGTGTGTGTGTCTGTGTGTGCGCTGCGCGCTGTACCGATTTTTCATCTCGAGACCGGCAAAAGCTACGGGGCTGAAACTTTGGGGACTTAATCTGTGTGTACGTACGGGCCCCTATCCCCAAAATGGGCGGTCTTACCCGCGTGGTACCCACGTAAGGCCCGCCAAAGTTTTTTACGGGGAAGCTGATAACTCGCGAACCAGAAAAGCTAGAGAGCTGAAATTTTAGGGGAATGTTCCCCGTCCGAGTAGGTACTAGTGAGCTCAAATCCAGCCCCCGGGTAAGCGTGGTACTCGCGCACGGCCCCCCCCCCAAATTTTTCCCGCGTAAATTCATAACTTGGGGCTCTGAGATGCTAGAAAGCTGAAATTTTAGGGGAATATTCCCCGCCCAAGCAAGTGCTAATGAGCTCAAATCCAGCCCCCGGGTAAGCGCGGTACCCGCGTAGAGCCCCACAAAATTTTTACCGCGTAAATTCATAACTCGGGGTTCTGAGAAGCTAGAGAGCTGAAATCTTAGAGGGGTGTGCCCTGTCTAAGTGGGTATTAATGAGTTCAACTCTGCCCGCGGACAAGCGTGGTATTTGCGTACAGGCCCGTGAAAAGTTCCTTCCGGGTAAGTTACTTACTCGAGAACG